TAACAATTTAGCAAAAATAATGGGTTTAACAAGCTAGCAAGTAGCATAATAACTCATTCAGAAAGGACTCTCAATGGATGAGTAAACTAGGGGTAAATGAGGAGTAAGATATCCACATAGTCCCAAAGTAGCTCTCTCAGACACAGCTGAATTACAAAAAGAAAAATGCTCACTGTGTTTGGGCTGGCCCAACATTAACTAAGTGATTAGACTTACCAGCACAGACCAATCAACATTGAGTTCCTTCTCATGCACTGAAAAACACACAGCACCACTTCTTTGCTGCCAAAATAAGAACAACAGTGATGTAAACAAGACTGAGGTTTGTCTCCCACACAAAAAGCCGGGGCTCATGCTAGGCATTATTAGGTTTACAGTTTCCTTCTATCTTATTTGCATGGCCATGACTCCTAGGCCCAGCAGCCTGGGGAGAGGTAGTGGAGAGAGGGGGGTGGGTGGGAGTGGGGGATAAGGCAGCTGGCAGCCTGTTCCAGGCAGCAGGAAGGAAAAAGATAAAGAAAAAAGCAAAGATTCCCCATGCACCAAATCTTAGAGGTTTCCAAAGCCTAGCCCAGGACACTCTGCTTACAATCCTTCTGTCAGAACCACAAGTGTGGCCACACTTAGCTGCAGAGGAGGTGGAGAAATACAGTCTTTATGTGACTATGTGCCAGTTAAAAATTCTATTTTACATGATGGACATCACGGGTCCGTTGGACATGGGAGAGCAAGCAGCAATCTCAGAACACTGATGTTCTTTTGTTTCAAAACACCTTGTTTATATACCTTCAGTTCTTTTTTTATCAGGATCTAAAATTTAGGGGACCCTTTCCACCCCAACAAGTCCATGTGTCTCCCAGATGGGCCTGAAGCTCAGAGTACCTATCCTGTATACTCCATTCCCTAACTCCCGCAGGCTGACACCATGCCTGGCTGGGGGCAGCGTGAAGGCCTGGTATCCTGTCCTGTTAGGAGGGACAGCCACCCACAGGAACTGCCGGTGGCCTCTGTGCTGACATTTCAGCTGATTTCAGCTGAGCTGACCAAAACAGCCCATCTTTGTTCCTTTCCTTTGTTTTCTAGATAAGCATGGTAAAAAGCCTCTAGTAAACAACATTTCTCCTAACTGTGGGCTTTTCCAGGACTCTCGGAAAAGAATAGATTTCGAGTTTTGGAGATTAACACGGGGTAGCAAATGTGTGCTAGTTCGCAGTGTTCCAGGTGGGCCTGAGGAATGCCAGAGCCAAGAACGCACGAGATGACACAGACCCGCGGGGATGCTTCCTGCTCGCCTCCTCCATCCACCACTTCCAGCTCCACCTGCACAGGGATGTGGGGTGTTACATCTTGGGGTGAGATTAGTAAGTTTAGATGCTTTTGAAGCCTATAAACTCTTTGTGGGGAACCTATCTCCAAGCCCAGCTTAGCCTAGGGTATTACTCGATTCCCATGTGGTGGAAGTAAGGAATGAGGATAGTAAAATCTGAGATTTTATAACTGACGATGAAGACACAGAAACTTTCTTACCACAGAAACTTGACTATGATGCAAGGGTGGATCCTTGTACAATTAACCACAGCTCACAAAGCCTTTCCTCGACCAGGAAATCCAGCCCTATTTCTTTCCATTAGACCTGACGGAACTACTCATTAAAACCCCAGCTCAAAGTCCCCTCCATGAAGCCCTCCTGGAATTCCCTAGGCCCAGTGCTGTCTTCTGGCGTCCTGTGAGAGGAACATGTGAGCTACAGGGCACTTTCTTAGGTTCAGAAGGCTGGTTCCGCAACTTTGTAGCTGTGTGACTCTGAGCAAATCTTTTAATCTCTGTGCCTCCGTTTCCCAACCTAAAAATGAAGTTTAAAAATAATATCTTCCATATGCGGCTGTAGTGAGAACAAAACAGTTTTACATGCCTTTTAAAGCCACTGGCCTTCTAGCAGCTTTCTTCACAATAGCTAAAATGTGGAAGAGATCCAAGTGCCCCCCAGCAAGTGAGCGGGTAAATAAATGTGACAACTGCATACAATGGACTATTATTCAGACTTAAACAGGAAGGAAATTCTGAACCTGCTACCCCATGGATGAACCTTACAACATTGTCCTGGGTGAAATAAACTAGTCCCTGAGAGGCAGATTCTGCCGGAGCTACCTCTGCCGCTCCAACTCCTAGAGACAGAAAGGAGAATGGAGGTGGTACAGGCCCGGGGCGCTGGGAACAGAATTTCACCTGAGAGAGAGGCTGTTCTGGAGATGAGTGACAATGGTCACACAACAGCATGTGCGTACTCATGCCGCCAAACAGCACACTTAAAATTTAGGCTAAAACGATAAATCTGATATTACACATATTTTAGCACAATTTTAAAAATCAGGATTTTGAAAAAGTGACTGGCACTTAATAAGTGCTATGAGGTGTTAGGTGGACAGGTAGCCTGTGTGTGTGTTATGTGTCCCTCTCCTCCAGGGCAGGCACTGAAGGACTTCAGCCATAGTATAATGAGCACCCCAAGGGGGCACCCTGGAAAGGGGTGGGCCACATGTGCAGAAGCCAAGGCCTGAATCTCAGGGTTAGATGGGTCATGGGGAACGATGGGTAACACCAGGTGGGGAAGACTCCAAATTGGAACTACTCCCAAGGAGAGGTAGCAAGAGCTAAACTCTTCCAGGTGAGCCTAGTGAGGATGTGGAACACCAGACAGAGCTGGGAGGACCCTAGGAGGGTCCTTGGGAAAAGGGGAGGTTCCCGGTTCTCTGCCCCACCCAAAGGAGGGTGGAGCTGAATAGAAAAGAGAAGAATCTGAAGAGGAAGGAAGCAGGATGGAGAGCCAGAAAGAGACCTGAGGGAGGCACAGGAGCAGAGAGACAGGTGAAGAAGCGGCTCTTGTTTCTTGGTCCTGGGATGGTTGAAACAGATGTGGGTGAGAGACCCGTGGGGAGGTTAACTACTATGGCAGCATTTATCTTGATTTTGGTCTTTTCTTCCCAGACTTGTCTGGCCATTGCTGACCCTTTTTGTGGGTCCCTGCCAGAGGGTTCTTTGGACTTGGAGCGGGCTTTCAGGTGGGCTTTTTAGACCCTGGACCATTCCCTTTTTGGTGGACTTTTACCTCCAAGGGGGTGGGTAATTTGGGGTGTTTGATTTAGAAACTATATTCTTGTTCTTTTCTGTATTGTTTACCAATTCTGTTAAAGTTCCTTTCCATTAAAGGTCTTACATGTTTTATCTTGATGCAGTGGGTGGCAGAACCTATTTAGAGTGGGCAGGTTTGGGGGTTCAGGGTGTCCCTCTCCTTTCCCGGTAACACTTTCTCCTCAGGATGTGGAGAGAGAACCCTGCACCATCATGCAGGACACTCCCTCCCAGTCTTCCCATACTGTCATCTGAGAAGCAGTTGTGACATAATGGACAGAGCACACTGGAAATGAAGGCGAGAAAACTTTGGCATCACAGACTTTCAAGAACAGGCTTCCCCCCATTTCCCACCAGATCCCACCCAGGACCCCATGAAAGAGGCCTGAGGCATCAGGAATCTTACATCCAGTTGCGTCCCAGGGGGACCGCTAGACCATGGGGTCTAGTGGTCAGTTGGGGTATGTGCTCTTTGTAGAAATGATGTCGCTGACTCTTAACCAAGGGAGTACATGACTTACTCACCAGAAGGCCCACATGTGACCCAGCAGCTCTTGTTCCTGCCTTGCCCACAGCTGTTCTATAGCTGTCACAAGAATAGGATGGAAGAGGCAAAGGCCCCTCTGCAGGTTTAGAGTAAAGGGACAAAGGCTGGACATGGATTTGCTCAATTCAAAATGTTTGTGGCGAGGCTGATTGCTAGTCCCTTCCTCTAGCTCCCTTTCCTCACCTACCTACTCTGTGAAAGCCCACTCTCACTATAGAACTAGAAAAGTGACCTGCTTCTTTTCCCAGACTACTGGTCAGCTGGGGTGTGCCACATAACACAACTGGCCTGTTAAGGGCTCCTACTGGAGATTTTTGCTCTCCTTGTAAGAAGGACAGAGATCACTGATGGAGTCCACTTTGCCTCCATGTCCCTGCCTGGGACTGTTGTGCCAGGTTTCGAGTTTCCCAAAGACCACCAAGGAGCTGATTCTGATGCAAAGCCCATGAGGGTCTTTATTGCAAGCTCGAGCCTGGACTCACAACATGCAGCAACACAGCTGCCCAAGTTGAGAGCCCTGAGCTCAGGGAAGACAGGGTTTTTATTACAGAAGAGGGGAGTTTCAGCTCAGCAGAGGGGAGTTTTTGCTCAGCAGTACATTGATTGGTGGACATTGAACAAGTTATCTTGTCTTAACCTGGTTGATCTGTGCGTGTAAGACGTGATCTTCACTACTCGGCCCGCATACCTTAGGGCATCTGGCGTTTTTCTGGTATGTACTGGTTACTTGCCTACTTGCTAATTGGCTGTTGCTATGGGATGAGCAAGATTAGGACATTTACAGTTAAATTCGGCCTTGACACCTTGTTGATAACCGAAACTTAGGCCTGGCTGGTTCAGAAGCATTCTGAAGCCTGTCATGGCGTCAGTTTGGTCTTTCAGGACCTATCACTGATTCCTGGAACTCTGGCAGCCATTTGCAATCATGAGGAAAAACAAAATTAATCACTGAGCTTACCATAGACTATCTCTATTACTACTGAGTCAGTGAACAAGATAGTGCATGGTTATGTGGGAAGTGTACATTGATGCAGTGGGTGGCAGAACCTATTTAGAATGGGCAGGTTTGGGGGTTCAGGGTGTCCCTCTCCTTTCCCGGTAACACTTTCTCCTCGGGATGTGGAGAGAGAACCGGGAGACCTAACACATCACCCTAGACAGGCAGCAATTTAGTGAATCACCACATAAGAGGAGTGGTGGCCCCACAGTCCATATTCCTAGCCCTAGACAGATGGTTCCTTTCTCCAGTTACCCTGGGTAATTTTTCTCTGAAGACCCCTTTTCTCCATAGTCTTAATATCACATCATAAATTATACACACAGGTTAGAACGAAACAAAAGGTTTTATTAAGCACATAGCGAGCACAAGTTATTTTCTGTGGCTATATGGTGGGTACACAAGCATGTCACTCAGCCCTGCCTGACTCAGTCTAACAAGCAAGGCAGCCTCACAAGCCTCCCTCATTTCCCTCACAACCATGCCCAACCTCTTCCTGAGCAGCTAACAGAAGAGAGGATTCTGCAGAAGTCCTGACACTTCTCTCCCTCAGCAACTTCTCCCCTGCCACCACACACACACAAACATTTCTGTCTTTGCTTTATAGAAACCATCCCCTTCATGGTTTCCTCAGAAACTTCATATACGCTCCATACACCGTCATCCTTAAGGTCCATTTTCTTTACTTTACCTCATTTTGACCCCTGCCCCTCACTCTTCCCAGGCACAGGTTCTCGGGGTCTCCATGTTTTCTGTGACACCCGCCTCCCTCTTCCAGCTGATATCCCACCATGAGCATTTCTAAAATCTATTCCCATACAATGTCTCTCCAGACAAATGCAAAGGGGCATCTACCCAGATAAACACATTTGGGGAAGAGTTGAGAGCTATATGTTCCCTGGATTAAAGTGTGGCCCAAGAAAGAAAGCGTGCCGATAGGCTTGCTATGACTGGCCAAGCCTTTGTTAAGAGACACACAAGGGAAGAGGGACTGTTGGATCTTCCAAGCCTGCAGGGATACCTCGTGGGAGGGACACAGGAGGGAATACAGGTCAGGCAACACGGTTCTCACTCCAGCTCTGACACCACCTTTCCGTATGTCCATGGGCAAATCCCTAACTCAGTAACTTCAAAGAGCTTTTTTTTAGATTCCTTTAGGGAAATAACCTCAATACTCAACTTGTACAAAATCTTTTACTTTTCATAATACTTTCATATCAATGATTTTGTGCTCCTAGAAATTTCTTATAGATTCTTAAATTAGGTCTCTTCCTAATCCTAATCTCATGTTCCCTGCCTCACAGAAAAGAAATATGACTCACCCAAGGTCCCCCAGTCATTCAGTAGCAGGGCTGAGACTAGCTCTGAGGCCCCCTGACTCTCGCTGAGCCGCTACATCCAGCTCTTTAGGATGTGCACAATGGTATAGATTTGGGGGGAAAGAGAGGCTGTCAGGTGCCAAGACATGGAACCAGGTCATCCTTAAGGAAAGGGCACCTTTCTCTAATTGGTTTAACTTGCACAATGGTAACTTATGTCTTAGCATCAGTCCTGACTCCCAGCTGCCCCTCTTCTGTGTCAGTCATGACTGACCAGGTCCAGGGCAAGTTTGTCAAATAAAATGTACCCAGCAAATTTAATTTCAAAAAGTAATAAATACTTCTTTATGATAAGTATATCTTACGCAATTGAGAACATATTTATTCATTTAAAGGTTCTCTTGTTTATCTGAATGTCAATGAAATGGGCATCCTGTATATGAAGCTGTGAAATCAGCCAATTGTAGTCTGGTAATAGTGCTCAGATGGACTTATTTCAGCTCTTGAAAGCCAGCTGTTAAATTTTTAAGAATTTTGTGAGCCAGTTGTTAAATCACGAGGCGCTTGAAATCAGTTGGGGTAGAAATAATTATATCTTGGAAATTGGCAACTGCCACAAATCATGCACCCATCCAATTTCTTGTTTTGCTTTTCTTTTAGAACTGGTTGTGAAACACTTACCCACACCCCACTCTCTAGAGGCTTCCTTGTCTGTAACTCTGGGCGAAAGCTCTCAGAACATGATCCTGAGCACTCTCCAATCACAGGGGAGTTGGGTAACATCTGAGACGAGCTGTCAGGCTTAGTAAAACAGAAAATGGAAGATTCTACACCAGGATCCCAGAACTAAGTGTGATGGAAACTTCGAATTCCAACACATGGATATTAAAATCTCAGAATTCCCAAAGATGGATCGTTAGTTCTAAAGCAGGGCAGCTAGGCACTATTCTTTCCTAAGCCCGCTCTAGCAGACAGATGGGCTGAGCCCGGCTGGGCCTTGGGGGGACCCCCATCTCAGGGTCCAGGCTTCTTGCGCGCCACAATGAAGCAGACCCCGGTGTTGGGTGCGCTGGAAGCCGAGTAGCTCTTGGAGCTGTGCAGGAACTGCTTGATGTCAAAGCCGGCGTCCAGGACAGCCTGCTCCACCTCTTCCTTCTCCAGGGCCACACAGGAGAACTCACGCTTCCCCACCATGTAGGTCGAGAGGCGAAGCGTGACTGTGGTCACCAGGTGGCCGCCGGGCTTGAGCAGCGAGGCCAGGTTGCGCAGCGCAGCCCGGTAGGCATCCAGGCTGCAGCAGGCACACTCCATGGCCAGCAGGGTGAGCACACAGTCGGCCGGGGGCAGCTGCACCGGGGTCAGCGGGTTGCTGAGGTTGGCATCACACTTAAGCACTCGCTTCACCACCGCACGCAGCTTCTCCTCCTTCTCCTTCCACCGGTCACTGCAGAGAAAGGCAGGACTTAGCATGGGAAGGCCCCAGAGGGAACGCTCAGCCCACCTCAACCAGAGTGGTGATCTCGTGAGCAAAAATGATTGCTGTCCCCAAGTCCCTCCGTTGCCCGAGGGCAGGCTCTGCTCCAATCCGGGCTTGAGTTTCCCTCTCCAGCAGGAAAATGAGGTGGAGGAAGTGGATCAGGTTGACATCCCTCTCTGACTCCATGTTAGTTCCCTTCCCTTGATCCCTCAGGTAAATAAGGAGTCTGGGCTGGATTAGGCATTCAACCAACATGGGTGAATTAAAAGAGCAGCCACAGATGTAGCTATCTTAAAAATATAACATGAAGTGATGAAAAGCACGTCTTAGAAAATAACATAAAACTGAAAAATAGTCTTAAGATAGCATACATATATGGTAAATGAATTTTTTAAAAGATTTATCTATTTATTCATACAGAAATGGGTTACAGGCCAGAGGTAGGGGTGGTGAAGGAGTTGGGAGCAGAGACAGAGACAGAGACAGAGTTGGGAGCAGAACAGGCAGATAGTGGAGGTATACTGCTGAGGGGAGCAGCAGGTGGGGCGGGAGAGGTCAGCGTGCCATGTGGGTCACCTCCGGGGTGGGGATCGAACTCCAATGGAAGCGGCAACGGCCAGCTTGCAATGCTGTGTCCTAATCCTTTGCACCACCAGGGAGGGCCAAATATGGTAAACTAATTTTTTAAAGCAAGAGAATCAAAATCAAGTAAATGAGTGCAGGGGAGAAACACATGTCAGTCTATCACATCTGAGCACTCCGGTTGGGTGGTGAGTTCGTGCCACCAAATGTAATAGTCACACAGTCTGCTGTGCCAGGCAGAGTTGAACTTGATTATACAGGACCTAAGGAAAGATAGATACAAGGAAGGGAGGAAGGAAGAAAAAGACCCTACCACCTGGACCTCAGTGGGTATATCTCACTATATTCCATCTCAATGCAGTCCTGACATTAGGCACTTGCCCCCCAAATTGCTACCGTCATGAAACTTGGGGCCCATCTACAGACCCAAAGCATCTCATCCATCCTTGAGGGGCCCATTATACTAAAAATGTCAAGGTCAATGAGAGGGCAGAGAACCCTGTGAAGGAGGGTTGCCAGCTAGCTCTGTCCCCAGAGCCCTACCTGTTCCCTTCCAGCTCACAGGCATACTTCACCGCTGGGGTCCAATCATAAGCCCCTGGATCCTTCTTCAGCCACTTGTTCAGCTCCTCCCGGTTGCGGTCAGTGAAGTCAGACATAGTGATGTCTTTGAAGACCTCACAGGCAGCAAGCAGTTGGTAGATGGTAGGGCCTGAGCCAACGTCAATCAGCGTGTCTCCTTGGAGGCCACCTGAGGGAGGGAGAGAGCTCATGGACCGACAAAGAACCATGGAGAGGAATGAGGCCTGAAACAGACACTCGGACCCCACCAATCACGCCCATGAGCCTTTTGACACTGGGCTGACACTTGCAGTCTGAGGTCCTCACCATGCTCAATGATGTCTGGGCATTCATTTCTATTAGACGCCTCGGAAAGCTCCTGTGTAGTGACCACTGTCTTTATTTCCCATTTCATGATTAGGGGTCAGACAATTAGCACAATATCTTTCAGACAAGAGCATAACCAACACCCTCCTAGGCCAAGAACAGGAGCCTACGTCCTGATCTGACAAAGATTCTGGCTGTAAGGTTTAGAGAAGTCATCCTGAGGTGATACCCTTCAGGTTCAAGTCTGACTGGGAGGCATCCTGATATGCAGGATGGCTCCCTCTGGGGAGAGGAGTGGGTAGAAACAGGAAGCCAGAACTGAGAGCGAGATGAGTTGGGAAGATAGTTGAGGGTGGCCTGGAAGCTGGAATGAAGCATAACTTCCAACATTCCACCCGGAGCCCGGGCTTAGGGCCATCTCTCAGCCTTTGGGGTCACTCTCGGCCATACTCCTCTCTGATTTCTGCCTTCCCAACCTTCCCATTCCGCCAGGCTCAGCCTCTTAACTCCCTACTGCTCTCCTTACCAGGAGACTCACCTGACTGTTTTCCTTCCAAGCCCCCAGAGTGAGGACAAGGGAGGACATGACAGAATGACCATGTCACCATTGCAAAGCCAGCAGATGCCATTTCACAGTTCAGTTGAGGCCCTGGCAGTCTGAGGTGCCCACCCAGTTCCCCCACCTCCCCAGGCAGGACTTTTGCAGGCCCTACTTACAACCACATCTGGTATGACCCAGCCCTGACCCCATCAAAATACCACTGCTTGCCCTCAGCCTTCTCAAGGTCTCTGGAGGCCTGCACAAAGGCAGGGCTCGTCATGGCCACATCAAGGTCCTCCTGCCACACCCCAGAGATGAAGGGGCTAGTGGACAGCATGTGGGAACCGAAAGGTGCTGTTTTCTCCCCTGCATTTCTTAGTCCCTGCTCTGGCCTGTAGCTTGGAGCTCGGGAGAGACAGTCCCTGTAAAACATCTACCAAAGAGAAGGGCAGGGTCCCCATGGCCCCCACCTCAACTTCCACCCCGTGCAGACTTCCACCAACTGGCCATCCTGAACACCCCATCCCTCATCCAGGTCCCTGGAGCGAGGCTCAGATTGCTGCAGTGGACAAGGGCGCCCCTCTGCTCACCAGGGCCGAAGGTCTTGTGGAGACACTCCAGGTTAAACTTGAGCATCTCGGCCTCGGGCGAGGGGCCACCTTCGAAGCTGTAGTAGGTGGTCAGGTAGTCCCTGGGCATAAAGTGCTTCTGGTACTCATCGCCTCCTGTGAAGCTGCGCTCCATGGTGACCAAGTGCACACCCTCCTGACTGCCTGGGTTTATGAGGCTCCAGTGCTCCAAACTCCACCTCCAGAATTCTGGGCTCATCCCTTAGCTCCACCCAGGCTGACCTCTCCCTTGAGCTGTCCTTTCTGGGGAGATGTAGAAGGGGGTCCAGCGACACACTGCTCCCAGCACACTAAAATACTTGAACTGAAATTCCTTTGACCCCAGAGCCATGTCGGTGGCTGCCCAGGCCCTCTACTCCCTCTCACCCCTGTCTGTCAGTGGTGCCCTGTTCTGGGTCCTCAACTCTGCCAACCATGTGCTGCTGTGACCTTGGCCAGGTGCCATGCCTGTTTCCCCATCCGTCACTTGCTATAAGAAACACAGTCAATAGGAACCTAAGCTGTAAGGACTCCCCAGGTTCCAGATGTCATGAGCCTGACATATAGTGAGGACCCTCAGCATCTCTAGTGATCAGTGGGATCCAGTGACTGTCCCCAAGCAGGCAGTGGGCTTGGCTCTGCACACCCCAGCCTTCCCTGGAGGGCAATGTCCAGATCCTACTGGGCAGAACTATGCATCACTGGAGAGGCCCCTGGAGACTGGAGGCAGCCCTGCTCCATGAAAAGGACCAGGAGGCCCTGCCACAAAGCATGAACAGTCAACAGAGTGCTGACTCCTGGCAGTTGATGCTTCATGTGAGCCCAATGATGTCTGTCCCCACACCTTAGTGTTCTTCCCTGTAAAATGGGAGTGGGTTGTAAAACCTCCTACAGGAAGACGCTTAGCCTCCTTTTCTGGCACAGGAAACAACTCTGTCTTGGCCACAAACCAGACAGAAATGAATCTACTACACTGGAGGTCCAGGCCTTTGCCCTAGAAGCGGGAAGGACAAGAACAACTTGTTCTGGCTTGGCTTTCAATAAACAAACAATTCTGACTCCCTGGGGCCTGACAGCCTTGACAGATAGAATGTCTGCAGAGGCAGGAATATCCAGTGGTCGTGCAGGGCTTGCTTGCCAAGGCGTGGGTACCTGACGGCCTCCAGGGATGCCTCAGACTCTGGTGCCAGTCTGTGAAAGCCACCCAGGGTAGTCAGGAAGCTGAAACACTCACATCATTCAGAATTGAAGGACATTTAATAAAGGTACGGACAGGGTTGAGGGAAGCTATAAAAAACTATTAGAATTCTCCAGAGAAAGAGAACCGACAGTTTTGTGTGTATATCTAGCTACTCAAATGAGCAAGAAAGAGGGAGGGAGAAAGAGGAGAGGGAAGGAAGAAGAAAGAAGGGAAAAGGGAGGAGAAAGAGATTGTAAATCTCTAAGTATGAATAGGGCACAGGTAGTCTAGAAACTTAGAGAAAGCAAATGTTTCTAACCTGAAGACTAAAGACCATCAGACTGGAGAAACCCAGAAACAGCCAATTCAAAAGCCCATTCAAATTGATAGGCCATCTGCTGGCCAACTTCCCGCTAGCTCAGGGAAGGGCGGTCCTTGGTTCTATTCAGGTTGTCAACTGATTAAGGGGGCTCAGCCACTTTACAGAGTTCAATCCACTTTGCCTTCCACCAATTGAAATGTTAATGTCATCCAAAAGCATCCTCGCAGAAACATCCAGCATAATATTTGATCACATGTCAGGCCTCATGCCCTGCCAATTTGACACATAAAATTAGCCATCACAGCACTCCAGAGCTGGTGGCAGGGAGGAGCCAACATCAGCCCTCCACCTGAGACAAAGCTATCTGGAGGATTCTTGCAGCAAAGGAGCTGAAGAATACACATCCAGACCTCACGCTCCTGCCTCCTGCAGAATCTAGCTGAAATCCAGCCGGCAAGGAGTCAGTATATAGTGCACATGTATCAGTCTCCCAACAGGAGGCAGGAGGATGGAGACTAGGTGTCCAGGGGACCCTAGAAGATGCCATTCTATTTGCCTGCACAAAACTGAACTGTGGATATCTGTAGGTTATCTGAGGGTGCCCAGAGACACCCACAGTGTGGTGTGGGGGCATCCAGGTGTTTGCTTGGCTGAGGGAGGAGGAAGATTGCCCTTTCTGGAGCTTTTGGTACTAATACTGGAAATCTTTGAATGGACAGAGGAGGCCATACAGGTGTCCAGTACCTCCGGCTGCCCAGAGGAATGAATCCCAACTCTGCTGGCTTTCCAAAGCCAACACCTTCTTCCACTGGCTCCAACTACCTCTTCACCATTTCTACCCTCTCCATCCCATGCATGTTCCCTCTGGCCAGGCCTGAGTTCTTCTTAACATTAGGGTAGTCTGCTCAAAGTCAAATCTTTTATGGGTACATATTATGGGAAGAGTCCTCAAACCTTGACATCATTGACATTTCAGGTCATTGACACTTCATTCAAATAAGTCTTTATGGGGAGAGGGATACTAGGTATCCAGGAGGCCCTAGAAGATGCCATCCTTAGCCTTCACAAAATTGAACTGTGGATATCTGTGGGTTATCCTGGGGTGGGAGAGAGGTTGCTGAACTGTGCAGATAACTTGCAGGACCCCTGCCCTTACCCATTAGATGCCCATAGCACACAATTGTTGTGACACCAAAAATATCTCCGATGTGGCCAGAGGCAAAGTGACCCCCCTCCCCCATTGAGAACCATGGCTTCATACACCTAACACCTGCCTGGGGGCTACTGCCCCTTTTCAGGAAATCTGCATCATCTTAAGCAGATTGTCCACTTTGACTTTTGTATATCTCTTGGAAATTTCCATTCAAGAAAACTTCTGCCTTAGTTTCAAGTAAATGAGCAAATTGCAAGCTACCTATCAAGAAAATTAGACCTCTTGGGAGTTGATCAATCTCCTCTCAAGATTAGGAAAACGACCATCTCAGCATCCCTTGCCCCTGACATCCTGTTATCTCTCTTCCCGCCTGACCCTGGGGTGAAGAAAGAAGTCCAGAACTTGCAAGTGTAAACAAGATTTTTCTCTGGTGAGTTATAATTGGCCATGAAGAGCTTCATCTCATGCCAAGCACCAAAATAAAAAATAAACATCTTTAAAAACTTAATCACAGAAGCTACCATGATTGACTATCAAATCGCTGGATAGAGAAGGATTTTTGAAGTTTAGGTGAAAAAAAAAAACAGCATATTTTATTAGAGAAAAAGGAAACAATTATTTGTCCTAAATATATTAAAAGGCAAAATATTACCTTCCCTTCAGGAAAATGATTTGGCAGTTATTTGACTAAATGATTCATGCTAAACTATTTACACCAACAACTTGAAACTTTGACTCAATAATCCTACATCTAGAAATCGGGATTATAACCAGAATCCAAAATGCAGGAAAAGCTTGAAATGCATTGATGACGCTATTCGACTACACTATTTACAAGGAAACATGCAACTCTCTTACCTGACAGCCACTAGGGGATAAGTTAAGACAAACTGGCTGAAGCTCTATCTACTGCTTATTAGCTCTAACAACTGCCACTTCCGGAGTCATGACACAGAGGAATGATGCCAACCAGCTTCTAGAACAATGCAGGCATAGACAGGCACACACAGCAATTCACAGCCTGAAAGGGCATTTCAGATGAGGGCTCCCAGAAGCAAATCACCATTTAACAAACTCTGGGATGAAAATAACATTTTCAGTATCACCAAGCATGTTAATCCTCCTACAAATCGTGTTCTTCAGGCCTTAGCATGAAATTCTGTTCTAAGTCGGCTAACTGTCTCCCCTTCCTCCGTCCAACTGGGTGAGCTACCCCATTGCCATCACCATTTAGTATATTATTAATTCTTCTCATTGAATTGACATCCACAAATGAATAATTTCAGGAAAGGGGACATTTACATTTAACACAGTAAAATTAGAGTTTTTATTCTGTTGAAACTCAAAAACCTGGAAAATAAATATTAACCACCTAGAATCTAGACTGTGGACTAATCGGCTTCTTCGTTAGTTCAAAGTGTGGCGTCTCCATGTGCTCTGCAGCTGTTTGAAATTAAAATCTCACAACCAGGCTCTGCATGTCACTGGGTCCCCCAAGGATCCCTGGGCATACTTGTTTGCACACTCTGCTTGGGGATGCTGGCAGGCTGGGTGGGTGGACAGCAGAGTGCAGAATACGGTTTGGAGCTGGTCTTCACTTTTCTTTGGTCTCTGGACTTCACTTTGCCTCTGGACCCAACTACCTGCTTCCAGGGCTTTCTTGAGAAAAGGCGTGTTCATCCCTTCTGCTTCCTCATCTCCAGGGAGGGAGAAGGTATCGATGTTTACTTTGCAGACCCTTGTGAAGGGGCATGCCTGGCACACAGTAGATACTCGGTCGGTACTAACCACTTTTCTAGGCATCCTTCTTGGTTCTGTTCTTTCAACACATACGGGACAGTCAGATCACTACAACCCTAGATTGGACCATTTGAAAACCACACTAGAATTGCCTCTGAAATCTCTGCTCTTAGGTGAATGTTTAAAAGAGAACTGGCAACTTTTTTTATATACATTTATTTTTTATTTTTTTAATAATATAACAGTTTATTTTTACATCATTTTGTACACTTTTTTGTTTTTATCTCAATAGCAATCCCCGTGGGCTTCCCATCACCAAATCACCCGGCAACTTTTTTTTTTTTTTTGATGTAAACATTTTTCTTTTTGAGGTCACTGAATATTTACTAGCAGCTGTAGGAAATAATACAAAAAAGTCCCCTATGCCTTCTACCCAGTTTTCTGCCTATGGTAATATCACTCAAAAGAATAGCATCATATCACCAGAGATTGATATTGATACAACCTACTGCTGTTATTCACCTTTTTCTAGCTTTACTGTGTTCGTGTGTGTGTGTACATGTGTGTGCATGTGTGTGTACATGTGTGTGCATGTGTGTTAATGTGGCTGAAAATGTGTGTGTGTGTATGTTAAGTTCTATGCAATTTTATCACACATTCTTTTCATGTATGCCAACACTTTTGAAATAGCTTGTGCAAACAGAGGCATCTTGAGATTTCCAGGGGCCCTGGCTAAGCTTACATCAGCCCTAAGAATAAAGTAGGGGCTGATTAAGGAAATGGGAGAAATAAACAAGATTAAAAAGGGCGGGGAGGGGAATATTTAGGCAAGTTTAGGACAAGCTGTTTTCAAGAACAAGCTCACTGACCTTGGTCAGTGAAATCTTAGCCATCTCTGAATCCTGTTTCCTGACCCTTAAGGGTCTTTCCACTCTGGTTCTTGCTTTTCCCTCCCTTCTCAAACCCCAGAAGGGTAGTTTCTTGACCTATTGTGGACTCTTGGTTTCTGTGTGTCTCTGTGTGTTCTTTGTCCTTTTGTTTCATTTTCTCCCTCCCTGCAAAGCCCTCAGCAGTACCTACACTCAAAACATCAACTCTCAGAGCCAAAACACCCCAGAGCACATGTTGGAACCCTGTTGCATTCCCAAGTTCCTGATCATTATCAGCCAGATAAATGTCAATCAGAGCGCTAACACCATGCCCTGGCCACATGTGTGGAATCTGAGCTCCTCCCTCAAAGGAGGGCCTGGCCTGAGGAGGTTATGTAACTCCTGGTGGGTAAAGCCGGGAGACGGTGGTAACTACAACCCGACTGTAGGAGTAGAGAGACACAGTGTGCTCCTCAGCCAGCATGGAGGGCAAGCTGTATGGAGGAGAGGACTACCAGAAAGAGTTTGACCCTAAAGACTACTTACAAACCTACTATTCCTTTGACTCAGGCACTGTGGCTGAAAATGAAATCCTGAAGTTTAACTTGGAGAACCTCTTTCAAACCTTCTCTTCAGGTGAGTGGCTGGTCTCCATCTCAGGGAGCAGATGAAGCTGCACCTGACAGGAATAGCTTCTGGGGGGTGGCAGGGCCCCTGTCCTCTGGGCCAACGCTCACCAAGGATGCTGGGAAGGTAGCCCATTAGGGCCTCTCCTGGGTGACAATTCAGTGAAGTCAGAGTAATGGCCTTAGAGACCAAGTGTCAGGCTTGAGCATGAAACAGCTGGCCCCAGTTTCTCACCTGTAAAATGGGAAACTAATGTCCCAGCTATGGAGTTCAGAAGCTCATGCTGGAAGGAGGGTGGAAGAGAACAGAAATGAGCACATTGATTGCATCTGACCATCTGCACCTGCTTTCCCTACTGAAGAGCCTGAAAGTTGGGCTTTATAGCCTTTCTGACATGCACACACACACACACGCATGCACACAATTTTTTACACACAACTAGGAGAGCTCATAGACATACAAAACCAAATCACAGAGTTCAGTTACAAATCCCTGCCATGGGACCTCAGAACTGGATAAAGAGATTATCACCCAGAGTCCTCAGTGCTCATGAGCAGAGACTGAAGTCAGAGAATGTGGGATGGCCAACCCAAATCAGACAGCAAGAGGAAAGATCAGGTAACGCGGGGCTGCCATGCACGGTTGGGCAGGAAGTATACTGTGCAACTCTAGGGCTTATGTGGTCACTCGATCGTATCTAATTGTGTAATTAGTGCCAAGAAAGGTATTTGAAGCAGCATCCACAGGGAAGAATCCAGAGGAAAGAAAACTTAATGCTCACAGAGGAATCTGAGGAGACTTCCTGGAGCAGAAACAAGTAGGCCTTTAAAAATGGACAGGTTAGTTTTAATAGAGGATGGATGAGGGTAAAAGCAGGAAAGGGGGCGGAGCTCTCACTGTTACCCTGGGGTGAAGATCCCCCCACCCCCAACCCAACACCATCCCCCCTTGCCTTTTGCCTCAGGGGCTGAACCAGTGACAGATCTAATGGCTCCCGTCTCAGCCCTTATCCGAGACTCTGCCCCTCTTTGCACCACGAATTAGGCAACTTTCCCTGTTTAAAATCCTAAGTGAGAACATAGTTGGAAATAAGTCCTGCTGCAAAGTCCATCAGAAGCCTATGCAAAAGAACAGAGCTTGTCCTAGCAGGCCCCTGGCAGTGTTAGGCAGCAAGGCGGGTGTGATAGAGGACAAGCTTCCCTGGCTCCCCCAGCACCCCCTGCACTTGAAAAGCACAAGCCTGCTGTCCCCAACCTGCCTGGTGGGAAAGTTTGGGATCTCGGTGTCACCCTCTCCAAATGACAAGTTCTGTGAAACAGCCAGGCCAGGGTTCCTCTCCATCAACCAGTGGTGCATAGAATCAGGGTGGGGCCCCTCCAGACCCGGTCAATGTTGTCTTCTGCAGGAGGAGTGGGTGGTGACATCCTCATCGACATTGGTACCGGCCCCACCATCTACCAGCTTCTCTCAGCCTGTGGGGCCTTCCGGGAGATCTTCGCCACAGACTACACTGAGCAGAACCTCCGGGAACTGGAAAAGTGGCTAAAGAAGGAGCCTGGGGCCTATGACTGGTCCCCAGCTGTGCAATATGTGTGTGAGCTGGAGGGCGACAGGTACTATCTCTGTACACTCCCTACACTATCTTCTTGACCCACTTGGGCCAGTCACCCCTTCTTTTGGGTTAGTCCCACCTTAGAACTATCTAACATCTAACCTTAGAACTACTGTGCTCCTTGCTTTGGTTGGTCTACTCACTCCTTTGTATCCCACCAATCATACACGACCAGCTGCAATCCCACCTCCTCCTGGAAGCCTCCCCAGATTGCTCTTACCCACACAAATCTTTGAAACCCAGTATTTCTCCTGTAATCTAATGTTGGAGGGGCTTCAAAGAAACCCCCACCCGTTTCTCCTCAGAAGTACTATCAAGCCCCACAGACCAGTGACATGACCCCTTCCAGGGAGCCCTAGAGGAGCAGGCAGGATTCTGTTTGATTTGACAGGGGAGAAAACTGAGGCCCAGACCTGGATAGTGCTCTTTGGGCCACTTAGAGCCAGGATGAAGAGTTCAAGATTCCTGCCCTAAACTTGGACATAGGGTGTGAGGTAGTCATAGGTAGGGGAGGCCAAAGTGAGGCACAACTGAGGGTTTCTGGGTACAGCGGTCTCCACAGCAGCCAGCCGGGGCTTCCTTCACTTCTGCTGCAATTTGTGCAGTGTGTGGGAAAGAAGAAACAACCTAACTGCGAGTTTGGCCCAGACCACCTAGATAAAGCACATAGCATGACAACATGAGCCCAGCAAATGTTTTGGTTTTCCAGTGCATATGAAAGTTTGGTTTAGTTGGAGTGTGTTTAGCTTGCAGTCTGCTTGCTTTGGTTGGCCTACTCACTCCTGGCTCTCAGGGGCCCAAAGAGCACTCTCCAGGTCCGGGCCTCAGTTTCCTCCCCTGTCAAATCAAACAGGATCCTGCCTGCTTCAGTAGATGCAACCACTGTCTGCTGCCTAGAAAGAGTGGGTGCCTGGAAGGGGTCATGCTGCTGGTCTGTGGGGCTTGGCAGTAGTGCTGAGGGGACACGGGTGAGGGGTTCTTTGAAGCCCCTCCAATCTAGATTACAGGAGAAATTACTGGTTTTCAAAGGAGATTTGCACGGGCGAGAGCAAGCTGAGGAGGCTTCCAGACTGTGCATCCAGCAGTCCGTGAGGAGAGCAGCAGGGCTGTGGCTGCAGACACTGCATGACACCGACGCGCCCCAAGAGCAATGCTGCTAGGAAAGCAGCCCAATGGGCTCGCTCCCCACAGGGTTGCCAGACACCTCGCCTTTGTCAAGTCACATGATCTGCTTTCCACAGATATGCCTATCAGCAGAGAGAGAAATTCACAGCAAATATTTGAGAGCCCACCTCTGCTGGACAAGGGGCTGAGGCACAGGCATGGGTACCTTAGTCAGCCAAGTCTGCCATGACAAATGCCCCTGGCCAGGGGCTCCAGCCACAGACATGGTTTCTCACCATCTGGAGCTGAGGAGCCAAGGTCAGGGCGCCACTGTGGTGGGGTCCTGGAAGGCGCACCCTAGGACATGGAAGAGAAAGGCCCTCAAGGAGGAATCCTCGAAGCTGCTTCCTGGGTGACTGGAAAGAAGGACCTGCAGGGTGAAGAAAGAGCAGAGGGCCGAGGGCAGCAGGCCCAGCCATGGGGGGCAGAGCCCATAAGGTTGGGGTCGTGGGAGCAGGCAGAAGTGGGTGTGATGGGGCAGAGCGGAGAGTCAGATGTCAGAGAGGCCAGAGAGGAGGCTGCTGAAAGGAGCAGAACCCACTGGGAGTCTCCTGGCCACTTGAGGAGAAAGTGACATAATGGGTGTACGTGTTCCAGAGCAGCAGGTTTAAAGGGCGGGAGCTGCCGGGAGAGGGAGGGGGAGGGGGAGTCAGCTGCGTGGGGGCAGAGTCCCTGAAGGGGAGAAGGAGAGGCTCAGTTGAACTAAGTAGACAGGCTCACATCTAGAAACACTGTGAATGCTGTTGATGCCACTGTATTGTACGTCCAAAATGACTTAAGTGGCAAATACGGGGTTATATACATTTCACAACTTCAAAATTGACTAATATAATCTGGCAAAATGGTGGAAATGGTCAAAAGAAGGAAAAGGAGGGAGGAATAATCAAGTGCTAAATCCATTGTCCCCACCCTGTGGTGTGGAATTAAGCAAGTCACCCACCCTCTCTGTGCCTCAGTTTCCTCATCTGCATAGAGGGGATTGGTATGTCCCTGGAGAGCCGCTGGGCAGGTTAGACCCCAGGCCTGGCCCCTGAAGCACCCGATGGCTGTGAGGAGGCGTGGCGCCATCATCATCCTCACCTCTGTGACCTCCCTGTAGGAGCAAGTGGCAGGAGAAGGAGGCCCAGCTCCGAAAGAAGGTCACGCGGCTGCTGAAGTGTGACGTGACCAAGCCGCACCCTCTGGAGCCAGCGCAGCTGCCCCCGGCCGACTGCGTGCTGACCCTGCTGGCCATGGAGAGTGCCTGTCCCACCGTGGACGCCTACCGGGCGGCCATCCGGGGCCTGGTCAGCCTGCTCAAGCCAGGTGGGCACCTTGTCACCATGGTGGCCCTGCGCTGCCAGTCATACATGGTGGGCGCCAAGAAGTTCTTCGCCCTCTACCTAGAGAAGGAGACGGTGGAGAAGGCCGTGCAGGAGGCTGGCTGCCAGGTGCTGCGCTGCACCTACAGCCCCATCAGCTACTCCGAGGGCTGCTCCATCAATGAAGGAGTCTGCTTTGTGGTCGCCCGCAAGGGCCCTGGAGCCTGAGGCCAGCCTGGCAGCGAAGGGCCCCAAAGGCAAATCTAGGCCCATGTTTCTAGAGCCTCACTCCACAGCTTCCGGAAGTCAGGCAGAGCCTGTGAGCTACCTCTCCCCTCCTAACCCTTCCTCCTAAAGTCACAGGTGAAACACAGACACCTCCCCTGTACGCACGCCAGGGATCCATCAGTCCCCCTCACCCTTTCCTATGCATCTTGTAGCAAAGATCAAGAAAATAAAACGGCTCGGCTTGGATAGCATGTTGATTTGGGCCCCCAGAAACAGATCCTGAGACAAGGATTTGTGTGCAAATAGCTTGAGGGGGAATCCAGGAAACAGCAATGGGGAAGAGGCGGCAGGCAGGCTTACGGGGTGTGTCAACAAGCCCCTACCACCACGGAGCAGGGGGTTCAGCTGCTCTGGGGCCTTTCAGAAAAAGCAAGTCCCCACAAATCCATCCCACCTGAGAGTGCTGAGCCACCCTGGGACTTCAGCTGGCCAGCATTTTCAGCTTGCCTGCATGTGGCCAGGAGGGAGAGGGCCCTGGGGTAAGAATGGCAGGTGCTACCTGCAGGAGTTTGGGCCAACAGGCAGATGGAGAGGAGGCTGAGTTCCACTGGTGACACAAGCACTCTGCTGGCTGCAGTAAGACCTGGTACACAGAGCAGCCGGAGGGTCTCTCTGCCCTGGCCCTCAGACCAAAAGGCACCAGCAAGAACCAGAAGATTCCTAGGCCAAATTCAGTTTTCTCCCTGAGGAAACTGAGTCTGGGAGAGGAGACAACCATTTCCAAACTGCACAGCAAGTCAGCCACAGAGCCAGAATAAGGCCTGGATGCAGGTGACCACAGAGCTGTGCTGTGAGAGGGACCTGCCAGGAAGGGGAGGTGCAAGGTGGGGCCTGCAAGGTGCTGGGGGAGGCTGCAGCTTTCACTAGCCAGGTGGACTCTATACTCCTACTTATTCCTTGTTGCAATGATTCCGTGGACTCAGCTATCCCAGAATGAGAGGGGGAGCAATGTTTTTCAGGTGGCTCCCCCAGAGTACCTGTGAGTCTAGATTACTATGGACCTAATGGGCAAGGGAGTTCTGGGAGCGGTCAGCTGAGTCAGGCCGGACAGGGCAGGAAGTCAGGCTGCCCTGTCCATTTAGCTGAGAATGCAGTATCTGGGGCCTTTGGGAAGGCCTGGGGTCGTGTCCCTTTACACAGTCATATGCCTTGAGACCTTCCTTGTCCAAACAGCTCCCATTCCAGCTGGCTCACTGGGCCCACATCCCTCTGTGACATGTGAAAGGGGTGTCAGCCTTTCTCCACACAAACCTGGTCCACATGACGCCCCTAAGTATCTTTGAACTGTGACCTGGACCCCTCGCTGAACTTTAACCTCTCACTGTGCCAATGCTAGTCCATTCTCCATAGAGTGACCTCCCAAATCCAAAGCGGTCATTCCTCAACCTGTAGAAACCTCGGCCCACAGGACAGGCCCCCACCTATCCTGTGTAAAGGCCCTCAGGCTGCCGCCTTCACTGAAGACACCATGAGGGGCTCTCTGATCCAGGCTAGCAACACCCTACTGTAAGCCCTTGCTACCCAGGACTTACACCTCAGTTTCCACCTCTGAACAGGTGCAGGAAAGGGCAAAGATGGGAAGCCAGCAGCCAGACTGCAAAGGGCAGTCTCTATCGCTCTTATATTTCCAAATCCAAGTGTTTTCTAAAATCTTTCTATCAGTTCCTGGGGATCTCTGAGCCTTAAGTCAGAGATCAGCAACAGGTAAGCCCTCTTTCTCCATTGTCTACACAGGTTTCCTCCCTGAGATAGCAATGGCTCACTATGACCACCAGAGGGCAGTACAGGGCAGAAAATCGCAAACAGGCGCAGCGAGGGCAAACGTCAGGAAGGAGGTTGGACTGGGAAAGAAAATTCTGAGCGTGCTGACCACTGTGTGACCCACTCAGGTTCTGCCCAGTGAGTGAGCCTTGAGCCATCCCACCCAGAGAAGCTTGGGGACCACTGGCCAGGCAGGGTTGCATGAAGCTAGAAGTTAACTGTTGCTGTAAATCCTAGACACTGCATTTCAGCTGGGACCCAGGAGCGATTTCAAAATTAGCATGCATGTGAATCACCTGGAGAGCTTGCTCAACTGGGAATCCAGTCCTGTGGGTAGGAACCCAGTCATTCCCAGCAAGCGCCAAGAAAAGCCAGTGCTTCTACTCCGAGGATTACCACTTGAGAAATAAGGATACACTTGAATTCTGACTTCTCCCTGAAACAACGGGGTCTCCTGGACATATTTGGAGTCAGTGGACCTGGATTCTCCGGCTCCTACCCCCAGGTGAGAAAGGAAGGGGGGGGTGCCTACACTCTCCCCTTGCTGTGCCCTGGCATGGTGGGCGTTCTCCCCTCCGATCTGGGGTGCCCTCCAGGCTCCTCATCAACTTCAGTTATGCCTCTGTGAAGAAACCCAGTGTGGGCCTGGCAGGAAGTGGGTACCAGGGTGGACATGCTGGCACTGAACCTGGTGCAGATTTCCAACAGCCAGGGAGCATCCCACATCTCTGCCCTCCTGCCAGGCAGAGGAGCAGGGTGGTTTTGTTACAAATTTCCAACTTGAGGCCCAAACCACCACCTGTTCTCAAGTTCCCTCACAAGCTCCACTCTCAAGGGGGTACAGCAGGAGGGCTCAGGATGTGCCACTCCCCACCTGGTCAGAGTAGGGCGGGTGCTGAGGTCTTCAAGGCTTCAGGCCACAGAGCGGGAAGGGGTGCAGGAGCTGGTTGCCTGGGTGGGAGCAAGGCCAGGTGGGCCCTCACAGAGGCCTAACCTAAGGTGCCCCATGAAGTGCAATAGCAGGGGTTCGGGGATTCCCGGGAAGGAACGGCATTGAAACAGCACCAAATCCAAAAAATTAGGGGCTGGAGAAAGGGGCAGTCCCAGGGCTCTGGACATGGAGGTGAGGGAGGCGGGAGGCAGAAGGCAGAGTCAGCGGCCCCCTGCAGACAGGGACAGCTGAGAGGCTTTCCCACCGCAGACCTGGTACAGGTGTAGTCCAGGCAGCGGTGGGCCCCTGCCAGGAGGAAGGCACAGGAGAGCCCTGCCTGAACATCAAAGGGTGCAAATCCTAATCCTCTTTCTACCAGTCACTGATGCTGGACCTTCGGCAAGCCCTTTCTCCCCAGAAACCCTTCCCATGAGCTGACACTCAGGGCCACAGACGCACATGCCCTGCTGCTGTTGAGACTCGCCCGCAGCCCAGACAAGGGCCCCTGGTTCTCTTTCCAAGACAATCTGGTGTCCCCAGTTTCCTTGAAAATTCAAGCAACAGCTCTCTGCCCAGGGCTGCCTTCTCTCTACCTGAGTTCCTGGCACACCGGCTCCCACTCTGACACCCCACGCTCACACACACACACAAACAATGCAGAAGAATACCACTGTAGCCAGCCAGGCATCGAGCAGGTTCTCTATGGCCCGCGGCAGATGGGTAAAAGAGAGTCCTGAGCCCTCAGTGGCTTTTTCAGGCTTTTAATGATCTTTCTACACCATTTATAGTGAGACAGCCAGGTGCAGGGCAGGAAGGAGGTCCGGAGGCCAGGAGGCTGGCAAGTGACCTGTGCCCTCGGCAAGTCTTCACTCTTTGGGCTCTCTGGCTTCTCTCCTGGTCTCTTTGATGGTCTCGACCATGCTCTGCCAGGTGCCCCCGTGGGCGGGGGTGGTAGATGCTAATGGTTGGAAGACAGAAGAAACCTGATCATTTCCATTTACGCTACGCCTATATACACAGATAGCACACACGCAGACACATCTCACACACACACACACGCTCACACACACACACTCCTACATATTGGACTTCACAAATGGCACAGTCACACAGCTCCGCTCTGGTCTGTCCCCTCTGGGTCTCTCTATCCTCAGTCTGCATGGTTGTTCACACTAGGTCTGTCTGCATGGCTGTCTGTCCAGGCAGGTCTCCATTAACTGAGCGTGCATGTAAAGACAGAAGGCTGTGCCCAACACGCTGCGTGCCTGCTCCGTGCCTTGGCCTGTGTCTCTAGGTCTGTCTCTCTTCCTTCCATCACTGTCCTTCTAGCTCCATCTTTACCCCTCAGCCTCTTGTTCCCTATAACTCATCCTCTCCCCTCTCCTGTACCCCTACTCCATTGCTGACTCTGGGCTCCTAGTCGGTGCACCCCTCCCCAGGCCCTATTTAGGTCCTGATCCTGCCCTGAGCTGGTTCAAGAACTCCTAGGACACCCTCCATACCCCAGACCACACCCCACTATCTCTGTCCCAGACGGCACCCCGCCACCACTGCCGCTCCCTCCTGCTTTGGCTCTGAGGCCAGAGCCTAGCTCAAGCCCCATCCCCAAGGGCAGTGGCCCACTCCGAAAGTGCTGAGACTCTGTGGGTACAGCTGTGCTCTCTCTGGCCTGGAAACTGCAGAAAAAATGTTCTGTCCTGCTGGAGTCAAGTCAAGTCTTAAAATAGAGGGAAATCTGGAGATCAGGAAAACAAAATGCAAGTTTTGGCTAAGTGTCTGGGATTCAGGAAAATAAATGATCTCCACTTCTTCCAGGCACAGCCCAGAGAGATAGCAATTTCCCCCAAACTGCCTCAGGGGTTACCCTGGCTGCATACTCCAACACTCCAGCCATGCTCACTTTACTGTCCCCCCAAACTCACCCTGTCTAAAAGAGGGAGTTCCGGGCCCTCCCTGGTGGCACAACGAGTTAAAGCACAGCACTGCAAGTGAGCTGCAGCTGTTTCAGTGCAGAGTTCAATCCCCAGCCCCAGAGGTGACCCACATGGCACAGCAGGCCTCTCCTGTCTCGTCCACTGCT